ACTGCTGCATGGGGTTGACAAGGATGAGTGCCTTTGATCCGCGTACCATCTTTGACTTCTTGACTTGCAAGAAGGACGAGTTTGCTTAGTCAAACAGAATTTACTTATTAAAAAAAATAGAAATCGATCCTTCGATTGCACAAAGATCTGGCCAAGTTAGAGCTAGTTTACCAAAAAAGGATATACTTTGTCTAGCTTGTTCATCCTTAACCATGTCAAGGTGCTCGCAGATAGCCTAACTATAGATGTGCATTCAAGGATTTGCGGATTTGCAAGTTTTAAGCATGAAATTAATAAATATCAAATTTGGTCCACAATTTTGCGCCTTTTGGGTATGCAACAGAAATTTAATTGGCACATATTTTTGGTTGCCTGCTGCGATTTCTGTTCGCCTGGTACTTCAGTCGAGTTTTCATTTAAATTTTGATGCCAAGTGGAGGCCAGCGGTTGCCCCTGAAGGATATGCAACGAATTTGGTTTGTGTGGCTTACTTTCCAGCCATTTATATTGAACTGGTATTTAGCTAAATTTGATTAATAAACAAACGTTTTAAGTGTTTTTTTTATTGAGTAAATTCGGCTCTAAATATTTAAAATACAACAAAAAAACTGTTAAAATGGCTTTATCCTTAATATATATAATATATATAATATAATATAATATAATATAATAATATATATAATATATATTTAGCTAAAAACTTCATACAAAAGAGCATAGAAAATAGTCCATAAGTCGGTCATGTCCTTGCGCAGGACAATGGGATATGGTGCGTTGTTGTCTTGAGCACCCACCTTAACGATCCTCATCACAAAATTATGTGGTCATCTAAGAATCCAGGACTTGTCATTATTTCTTGCTCAAGTCGCCTGCGGGAGACAAGTAAATCAACCAAAACACACAAAATGCTGAATATCTCAGTAACGACAAGGACGATTTTTATGTCCTTTGGCACATTGATAGACCTTGTGACCTTTCAGACTTTAACACCTTACACGCCAGGATATGCAAGGATACGGCTGCGCTATAAACGATTTTCGTTTCAAACAAAAGTCCTTATAACTCAGCTGTTTGCAGGACTTTCGTTCTTCTTATTGCTAGTTCTTAGCTAGCAGCATGAGCACTACTTGTGCTCCAAAGCACATCGCGATAGTGCTTCAAGTGGCCAAGTTAACGTGCATCTTGGCCATTTTTCGACCTTACCCCTTGCAAATATTTGAGGATTTTTTTGCTCGAATCCTGGAAATTCTTGAATGCCAATCGTTGGTACTGCTTTTAATGAACTCAAAATGGCATGTCCTTTGAGAATGGCTAAGGATGTGGCTGAGATATGGCTATCCAAAAAATGTCCTTTTTCGGTAAAATAGCTCTAACTCAGACAAATCTTAACGGATTTTCGCAGGACATGTAATGTTAGAATGGGAAAAGCCAAACGCTTTGATCTGTATCAAAGGATTATGAGGTCATCTAGGAATCAAGGCATATTTTGTACTGAAATAGTTAACAGTACTACTTTATATCCTTGCATATCCTGTCTAGTTACATGTCGATTAATTTGGCTTAAGCTCAGGTATTAAGTGGGCAAAGGACGTTAAATTTCTTCCTTCAGATTTTGAGTTCTTAGGGATTTTTTATGGCCGCTCGCCTGCAAAGTTTTTGCTTGGGGCTGATCCCTGTCTTCCTTTGTGGCTGTCTTCCATTGTGGCCTTTGAAAATAGACAAGGATATGGTATAGTTAGAGCTACTTTTCGTAAGATCATCATTTTATAGCAATAGATCAGAGATGATAGGATTAAAATGTGGGAAGCTTAAGCGAAAAGTTAGTTGAGTATAGGAAATTCATATGCTAGATCTAGGATGCATTTTTGACGTACGCTGTAAGGATCTGAGAGATGAGAATCAACAAGGATTAAGGATATATAAGTCATCTAAGCATTCAAAAGCCTGAACTTCTCCTAGTTTTGCCAGCTCAGTGAGTCCAGAATTTCGCCAGTTGATTTACCTGTAGAAACATTATTTAATATTTACATTTAAAATGAATAACAGTATATATATATATATATATTTGATTTACCTATGCATACATATCTATATACACACTTGAAATACATACACACATTGCCCTTTATGGAGCTGCTCGAGTCCCCCATCAAGTCCCATGCGCTCGGCTTGCATAAGTAAAGTTTCCATTAAGCATTCGAGCATATTTGCTTAATTATTTACACTAGCGTCGTAAATATGCGAGCAGGTGCCACAAAACTAAAAAGTTGCGCTCAGTTGTCATCCAATTGAATATTTATAAAGCGCAACTGCCCAGCGCCAGTTGTAAATAATTCCCCCAACGCCAGTTGACTACGCCAGGGAGCATTCTATGAGCGGGCAGCGAGAGTCCAAACAATAATTACTATAAGTATGTGAGCACGCCCACGCACACCTAGCCTGCCCACTCCTTGCATTAAATTAATTAAAATGTGGAATAACCAAAAAAAAAAAAAAACAAGTAAGAATTTTGCAGTCGTGCGCAACTGACTGCATGATGCTCGCTCAAGCTCTGAAAAATAAAACATTTTATTATGAAATATATAAATATGAACTATGAATATGAAAATATATTTAAGCTGTTTAATTGAATGAATTGTCTGGGTCTGCAGCCAAAGCCTGTAAAACTGCGGAAGCCATAGATAGATTTGCCACGCCTTCAATGGCCATATAAGCTGTATAATCTGCATACTCTTGCTTGAATTTGATAGATACGAGTATATGCATTACAAATTTGAATGCCTTAATAGCAGCCAGTGCATAAGTCTATATACTAAATATATCCAAATGCTTGTTTTCATATGCTGCAAGCCAATATACTCGCTTTGCTAGATGAGCGCGTATAGAAAACAACAAAGTTTGATGTTGTTTCAGCTGTTTGTTTGCAGAAGCGCTTAAATATAATTAAACGTTGTCCTTGCTGCCATTTTTTTTTTGGCATTTGCTTATATAAAAATCTGGCGCTAATAGTATTCCTGCCCTCTGCTTGTCCTTGAGGGTAACAGATATATATATATATATATAGTCTATGCTCTATATGTTGAATAAGTAGAATGCTGTGTCTGATTTTTTCAAAAAATTTCATTCATAACAGCTATTGCCAGCGGGCTATGTGGCAGCTGAGGCGTCGGAGCTTTTCTTGTTGAGTGCGTAAAGCTTGCTACGCAACAGCCACACACACAGACAGACAGACAGACACACAGCTATATATTTAAGTTAACGTGCGCATCCATTTGCATTTTATGAGCGCCCACTCCAATTTGGGATGCAGCCGCAGCAGCGCAGCATTCGGCATTAATAATGCAACAGCCAACGCCGCAATAATATCACAAACACGAAAACACACACACACACACACACACACAAGTGCACACATACACAAACAGTTACAATCGCGCCTTGCGCCTCCATTCAATGCCAAACAATAAACGCGCACACACACAGTCAAAGCTTAACTAGTCGACATTGTTGTCTCGCCTGTGTGTGTGTGTGCTTGCGCTGCCAGCCTATAGATGGCGCTCGCACCAGCAACTGCTGAGCTTGTGCTCACATAATCCGCTGTGGCAGTCTTTTAGGAGCACTGCTGCCGTGCAGTTCGTGGCGCATCGCGTGGCGCCTCGCGCAATTCTTCGTTTTTCTCATTCAATGGTTTTTTTCCCTTGCTCGAGTTATGCAAAATTTAATTTTCTCTATTTGTTTGAGGCTGGCAAATTGGCTTAGCGTGGGCGGGACATGGACTTGATCAACATATGCTTAGTTATTCACGGTGCGCCTGATGGAACTGCAGCCCAAGTTGCACAAGAAGCAGCAGCAGCAGAAGCATGCAACATTTGCGCTGTGCCACAAGTTAAACAAAATCTTTCCAATTGCAGGTAACGCAAATGGGCATTGCCCGACTGTGTAATACCCTAAATGAAAAGCAAGTGTCTGCCAGGCCAGATAATGATTGAAGTGTGGTGACTTTAAAACTGTAGAGAAACTTAAGAAGTGTGCAAAAAGTTATTAAAAAATACAACAAAGCGAATAATAAATTATATTTCTTGACTCTAAAACTGTAAGTGACAACTGTGACTCTATAACTGTAGTTGTGCTACTCAAGCTCGCATAGTGAGCTGTCAACTAATATGCCCACTTACTCTTTGGCTAAAGGGTATAAAACAAATCTGTATACTTTAAAGTTTTATGTTCTCTGTGTGACTCTCAAACTGTAGCATAGCACTACAACTGTTATCTTTAGCGTGACCTTTGCAACTTTTGCTGTAGCTCATATACTCTTTATAGGGCAAACTCTGAAGAGTGACTTAGACTAGAGACACTTAGTTATGTGTTTTGATGCGGGTCTGCTATACAATAAAGCTGTCATATGCTAAGTGAGTAGCTAATATACCCTAATATACTCTTGGTTACAACTTATGCAAATATAGTTTGACAACTCTTTATAGAAACTTTTTAAAAATAGATTCTAAATCTACTCTACTTCATTGATTTACAAGTAACTAGCTAATATACCCTCTAGCCATTTGACTAGAGTATATTCAGAATATTTTACTTCTTCTAGATATATAATATATAAAAGTTACTTTAGAGTGTTTTCTTAGTATTTCTTTTGATGCTGCACAGGTCTAGCTCTTGCAAGTCTAACTAATATACCCGTTTCAGCCCAGCGTATTCAAATATTTTTGGGCTGGAACGCAACTTTGTGATATAAGCCAGCTGCGGTCAGTCAGCAAAGGCAAAAGAACTCTTGCCACCAAAGCTCTCCCTCTCTCTCTCTCTTTCTCTAGCGGCATCCAAATGATGTCATGCGGCAGCTGTGTGGCGTTCAGTCATATATGATTCGTGTGCCGAAACGCAACGCACTCAAAATTTGGTTGTTAAATCGATTCTTGAGTTGCTACGCATAAGAGTTTAACCCACTCTCTCCCTCTCGCTCTCTCTCCCTCTCTTTCTCACAGCTCGCATTCACTACTTGGAGCGTGAGGAGCAGCGTCCCAGCAGCAGCAGCAGCCGCTTGGGCAACGAGGGCAGCATCGATGCCAGCGTCGCCAGCGCTTCGCCGCCGAGTGGAGTTGGCATCTCGCCGCAGGGCTCGCCGCAGCTGCAGCAGCGCCTGGGCAAGCATCTGAGCAAATCCGCTTCAGAGTTGAACGGACACGACTGCCATCACAGCAACGAGTCGCCGCATTTGTCGCCGAAGCGCGCCAAGAGCGCCGCCTCCCAGCAGCTGGTGGGCGGCAGCAGCAGCGTCGGAGGCGTGGCCAGCGGCGTGGGCGTGCTGCAGAAGACGCACGGTTTCTTCAACAATCTGAAGCATCGCTGGAGCCGGGCCAAAAGCAAAGATCGCATCGGCCGCAAGTCGCCCAGCGACTTTCTCGAAGAGAGCACCGACTATGCCGCCGACTACAGCTCGGAGAGCAGCTCCGTAACCCAGAGTCCGCGACATCGTGCCACCACCATTGGCTCGCCGTTGGCGCGAGACTTTCGTGCCACAGCGAAAATGGCGCAGGTTATTCAACGTTTCGGCGGCTCCATGGAGGGACGCATCGATGAGCAGCCCGAGAACGGAACGGCGACAACAGCTCAGCAACAGCAGCAGCAGCAGCAGCAGCAGCAGCTGGATGCACTGCAGGTGAGTCTTAGAGCAAAGCTTTTTCTTATGATTTCATTTTGTTTCTTTCGTGAACCTTTTTATTTGCAACTATTTCAATTGGATTTGTTTTTCTATTTCCACTAAAAACACGAAATTTATTTCGAAATTCATTTGATGCTTTTTTCTGCAAAACTTGACGCACGCAAAACGGCAAATTGTCGTTGATCGATAAACGATAACAATTGCAAAATGCCCATCACTAACGACCACAACTGCAGGCCGACGAGCTGCGTCGCAAGCGGGAGACACAATTACGACAATTCGTCTTCTTTCAGCTGCGCGTCCATCTCAAATCCGGCTGCGACCTGGTGGCCATGGACAAGAACGGTAAGCCGCTAGCCACTAGCTACTCTATCCTCTAGCCAACACAAAGGACCCGCGCACACACTCACACCCACACACACACACACGAGCAGAACCACACTCCAACACGCCCTGTCTGTCAGTCACTTATGTTTCCTTTGTGTTCTCCTCTGCGTCAGGACTGAGTGATCCTTATGTCAAATTCAAGGTGGGCGGACGGCTGCTGCACAAGTCGCGCACCATACACCGCGACCTCAATCCCGTGTGGGACGAGGTGTTCATTGTGCCCGTGGAGGACCCATTTCAGGCGATTATAGTAAAGGTAAGAAGCATTGGGAGAGCTCTGACAAAGACATAAACGAAACAGAGCTGCGCATACATTTCACAAGAGCTTTAAGTTTTCAAGCAGTAAGCTTTAATGCTGTAAAGATTAAGAGTGAAGTCTAAGCGTAGCTAGTTAGGTAATCTTAAAGCTTTAAGTGCAAAAAGTATGTAGGGCTTTTAGGAATTGAAAGTTGCTTAAAGCTCCCATAAGAGAGCATAGTTAAGTATACATTAAATATGAATGAAGTGGCGAGTTAATAAAGCAGCTTTGCCGTTAAAGAAATCTTGCTAGAAGAAGAGCTTTGAAGAGCTTTTATTTTCTTAACAAGCTTAAAAAAAGTAAACTTTTTGTTAAGCTCGCTCTATGTCAATGATAGAAGACAAATAGAGAATGAAAAGAGAATGAAAGATAAATCATTGAAAATTGAGCTTGAGCTTTGAGATGTGCTAAAGCCTTAAAGCTAGAGCGTTGATTGTGAGCTTTGAAATACATAAATCTATATAAAATATATTTAAATATATTTTACAAAAAAAACTTTACCAAATAAGAGTAAAAAATATTAAAGAATTCTGTTAATCATGAAGCTTATTGCGGTTTACTGAGAAGCTTTGAGTAGGGAAAAAATAAGAGAAAAGCTTAGATAAAGCGTAAGGATTTTTGTAGGCTTAAGTCTCAAAAGAATTACTCAGCTCATGGCTTCAAAGCTGCTTATGACTACTAGAAAGGACTTTATTTAAATCTGGTAGAAGAGCTGCAGTTAGTTTGCTAAGCTTTAAGATCACAGAGTTCAGCTTTAATGCAATTATTATAAATATTAAAGTTGATGGCAATTAAATATTATTCTAATCTCTAACTTGTTAAAGAGGAAGTGAAGAAGAAAGATAACAAGCTTATCATGACTAAGAGCAGTAGTTTGCTAGCAGAGCTTTAAGTCAAAGGTAGTCAAATTTAGTGCAAAGTCAAGTAACTATTCAAGGGAAATACTAAAACAACCTCATTAAAAAAATAACTAAGAAAGATGCACAAGAAACGTATCAAGTTAAAGAACTGTTGCTCATCCTTTAATGATAACAGCTTTAAGGCAATCGAACTTGTGCCGGCAGAAGGCGTAAGGCAATAGCAAATGGCAAATTATTACACAGCAAATCAATGAAAATCAATTTCCCAATAGCATTGACAGCAAGCTGCCGAAAATAATTGCCTGCGAGTCATTCAATTTGGCAAATTGGTGCGCAGTCGATGCTCGCTGCAAGCAGAGTTAACCGAAAATCAATCAAACGATTCCCCACAGGTCTTCGACTATGATTGGGGCCTGCAGGATGATTTCATGGGCTCGGCGAAAATCGATCTGACTCAACTGGAGCTGGGCAAGGCGGAAGATATCAATCTGCAGCTGAGCGATACGAACAACGGTGAGCCGGGCCTCAGCATGGGCGAGATACTCATCAATCTGACTCTCTGGCCGCGCAGTCAGGAGGACAAGGAAATGGTAGGTGGCTGTCACAACAAATGCAATAAGCAATTTGTTCAGCGACAATCAATTTGGCAATGCTACAAGTCCCAAGGTGAAAGGCAAGCATAAGATACAATGCATCTTAGAGATATAGATACGTGTTGCCACTGCCAGCCGCGCTCTGATTGAGCTATTGAGCTATGAGAGTCACGGCTCGACGTGCGCCCTATTCCCCTTCCTCTTCTAGCTACGACTTATTTCCTTTCTGTGCAGAAAGTTGTTGCGTTGACTAAGTCGTATCTCATAGATTAAGATACTTTGCTACTGCATGGCTGTGGCTTGCTTCTGCAATGTATCTTGCAGATACACATAGCGTTAACAGATACTTACTTTACTTTACTCAGTTCCCACATTTCTTATTAGAATTATTACTGCTATTAGTGTCTGGTAGATAAAGTATCTCGTAGATACAATTACTTAGCTTGTTAGTGGCGCACTCTCAGCTACTTTTCACCTTTCCTTTTCCATAGTCGTTCAATTTCAATAAGCGTCTATTACCATTATTCTGTTTCCAAAGCGAAAGTCATGCATGTATCTCACAGATACAGATACATTTCTCTCTAAACAGTAGCGCCTTGATTTGGCTACTGTTTGTAGCTCATCCATCAGCACTTAGCCAACTTCCGTGCTTTCTCTTTGAGCCCATTCACTTTACATAATCGTCAATTACCTTATTGTTCTGTCATTCTTTGGCAATCGAAAGTCTCCTCAGATTGCGTGCAGATTTATGAGTCGAACTCTTGACTCTAGCCAAGTCGCTCAATTAGCAACTTCAAGCGACTCAAACGGCACTCGTGTGGCTCTAGTTACGTGTAGTTGCCACATACTCAGCCACGACCTGCCGCACCCTCTCGCACATTAACTTTTTGTTTTGATCGCCGCTTTTCGACTGCTCATTACGTTTAGACGTAAGCCGCTCAACTTGGGCAACAACAAAAGCAACAAACAACAAACAATGACAAAGGGAAAATACCCCGAACTGTTACGTGTAAACAGCAGTAAAACTGGGTGCTAGTCAAGCTATGACAACAATTGAATACTCTGCGCATTTTGAATGTACATGAATATGCTGACACCTTTCTATGCGATTCTCATGCACAACATTTTGCGAATGCTTGAGGGCAGAAGTCTTCTCTTGCTTTTTCTGTCTTCTTATCTTTGTCACTTTATCTCTCTCTATCTATTTCTCTCTCTCTATATTTCTCTGTCTCTATTTTATTATTATCTTTTTGCCTTTCTCTCTGTCCAGCTGTCTCTCTCTATGTCTATTTTCCGCCCTCTTTACTCTCCCTGCCTTTTTCATCTCCCTCTTTCATTGTCCTTCTCTTTCAATCTCCCTCTTTCCTTCTTTTTCTTATTCTCCTTCTCTGTTTCATCGACTCTCTATCTCTCATTGTCCTCCCTCTCTCTCTCTGTTCTCTCTCTCTCTCTGTCACTCCCTCTCGCCCATTTTCCCTCGCTCTCTCTCTCTATTTCATTATCTATCTCTCATTAGCTCTATCTCTCTCTCTCTCTCTCTCTTTCTCGCTCTCTCTCGCTCTCTCACTCTTTCTCTTTGCCATTCTTCCTACATTTTTGCTTCTTCTCTTCATATTCTCTCTCTCGCTTTGATGAGGAAAGATCACCCTCTCTTCTTATCCCCTCCCTAACCTATCGACCACCTGTGCAAATTACTTTTATCTTCCATTCCATCGCGCCTTACCTTTTTCATTACTCAGCTAGAGGTTAGGCAACCCGTTGGGCATAAAAGTTTTTAAAGTTTGTGCTTGAAATTAATTATAGACACTGCAAGCCACACACATAGGTGTACGCGGTTGGGGGAACAATTAGATTCATCGTACAAAGGTCGCTCGACACCAATTAAGGCAGTCGCTGCTTATCAGCGACTCAGTGGTAGAGGCGAGCTGATAGGGTGGCAAACTGTGTGCTTGAGTGCATATGCCCGCCTCAAGGTTATCTCAGACTCATTTGCCGAGAGAGCGTCGAGCTGAAGCCCCAATTGTTGCTTCAGTCGTCGCGCGCTGCTTCGCTGTTCGAAGTGGAACTGCGATTTGAGTTGTGTTCGGATTATGGATTGGCCTGGTCCCATTTACCGGGTTGCGCCGCGCATGTTGCTCAAGCGTCTGCGGCAGCAGCGCAGTGAGATCTGCGAGCAGCTGGAGCTGGGCTGCGAAGAGCTAAAGGAGGTCAATTTGAAGCTTTGCTCTTTCCGCAATTGTGATTTGTGTCTCAATCGAGATTCGTTTTCCCTGTCAACTTACAGCACTTTCAACGTAATTCCAAATTGGCTGAGTCATCGAAACGTCTCAAGTCACAAATCTGGAGCTCCGTGGTGACAATTTTGCTGGTCAAGGCCAAAGATCTGCCGCTAGCCGAAGACGGGGGCAAGCTCATCGACATACACCTGAAGTTTAGGTAACTTAATCGAAATCAAGTTGAAAGCAAACCACTTAGCGGGCTCTCCTTAGGCTGGGCAACGAGAAGTACAAGAGCAAAACGTCATGGACGGAGCGCTGGCTGGAGCAGTTCGATTTGCATCTCTTCGATGAGGATCAGAATCTCGAGTTGGCCCTGTGGAATCGCAATACGCTCTATGGCAAGGCCAACATCGATCTGAGCGTCTTTCAGCGTGAGACCACGCATGGCATATGGAAGCCTTTGGAGGACTGTTCTGGCGAGATCTTCCTCATGCTAACGATCAGTGGAACTACGGCTCTGGAGACGATTAGCGACTTGAAGGCCTTCAAGGAGGATCCGCGTGAGACGCAGTTGATCAGAGATCGCTACAGCTTCTTGCGCAGCCTGCAGAATCTGCGGGACGTCGGACATCTTACGGTTAAAGTATTTGGCGCCACGGGTCTGGCAGCTGCTGACATAGGCGGCAAATCGGATCCCTTTTGCGTGCTGGAGCTGGGCAACGCGCGGCTGCAAACGCAGACGGAGTACAAGACGCTGACGCCCAACTGGAACAAGATCTTTACCTTGTAAGTAGCAGTTGGATAAGTTGTATTGCTTGTGCCTCAATCATGTTTGATCCCTAGCAATATCAAGGACATTACTCAAGTGCTGGAGATAACAGTTTACGACGAGGATCGCGATCACCGCGTCGAATTCCTGGGCAAACTTGTGATTCCACTGCTGCGCATCAAGAGCGGAGTCAAGCGCTGGTACACGCTGAAGGATAAGAATCTGTGCGTGCGTGCCAAGGGCAACTCGCCGCAAATACAACTCGAGCTGACTGTGGTCTGGAACGAAGTGCGCGCCGTTTGTCGCGCTCTCCAGCCCAAGGAGGAGAAGCTCATACAGCAGGAGGCGAAGTTCAAGCGCCAGCTCTTTCTGCGCAACGTGAATCGCCTCAAGGAGATCATTATGGATATACTAGAGGCAGCACGCTATGTTCAGTGAGTACTTGATAGAGATCTTTAGCTGATCTACAGTTGATCTGCTCTCTGCCTTCCACAGAAGCTGCTTTGAGTGGGAGTCGCCGGTGCGCTCCGGCATTGCCTTTGTTCTCTGGATCGTGGGCTGTGTCTATGGCGATCTAGAGACCGTGCCGCTCGTGCTGCTGCTCATCATATTGAAGTGGGTGACACACAATGAGCAAACTTAGCTAGAGTCTTAATTGCATTGCCTTCACAGAAAATGGCTCATACGCCTGATCACCGGCACCACAGACGCCAATGCGGGCCACTACGATTACGAATACGATGAGGATGATGACGACGATAAGGAGAAGGAGGAGAAGAAGTCAATTAAGGAGCGCCTTCAGGCCATACAGGAAGTCTCGCAGACCGTACAAAATACGATCGGATATTTGGCCTCCCTAGGCGAGAGCACCATCAAGTGAGTCGAGGCTCGACGAAGGCGTTCGATTTCTGATTTCATTTCTGGTTTGCACACAGCACATTCAACTTTTCCGTCCCCGAATTGACCTGGCTGGCGGTGGTGCTGCTGCTGGGCGCGATACTTGTGCTGCACTTTGTGCCGCTGCGCTGGCTGCTGCTCTTCTGGGGCTTCATGAAGTTCTCCCGGCGCCTGTTGCGTCCCAACACGATACCCAACAACGAGCTGCTGGACTTTCTGTCGCGTGTGCCCGACAATGAGGAGATTGTAAGGAAAGCAGACTTCTAAATCGCATCAAGTCTCAACTCTCTCTCGCTCTCTCTTTGCAGAATCAATTCAGAGAGCTGCCGCCGTCGGCAACCACAGATCTGGCTCGAAGTAATCCCAAAAAGAAATTGAAGGGCTCATAGTCTATAACCAGCGCTGATGCGGTGATTGGGCCGCTGCAGCACAGCGCAACTGGGACACAGCATTTGATGCAGCGCTTCCGCGCCAACACCAGCCAACTGAAGCACAAATTTAGCCAGGCCAAGAGCCTTAGTCTAAGCCAAGGCGATTAGTCGATTAGTCCATTAGCAAGTATTTAATTGAAGGCACAGGAATCCAAGACGCAACTTTAACTAAATGCACCAAAAGTTTTTATGCTTAACTTAAGTACTTAAACAACACACAAAATAATAAGTAAGAGCTTTGACAGTCGGCTCCCCTCGACTGCGCCATACTCGTTCACAGTGCGATACAATGTGAAAGGAATCGTTCCAAATTGGCTGAATCTAACTCAAGATTAACTACTCCGATCAGCCCCATGAGCACAGTGGGCGTGGCTATGTATAACACTGTCTCGGCTATACTAGAGCTTATATAGCCGAAGTTTCATGTGTTTAAGGGGCTTAACTGAAACGAACGAATTCCCTTCTACCTCTCCGAAGAAGCATTATAAAACTAATATGCTCGTTTTTACTTTGCAAGCGAGCATTGCCAAATAAATATGCCCAGTATTTTCAAATTAGAAGCATCTATGGGGTTACATTAATTAAGAAACAGGCATTACAAAGCCAATATACCTGATTTTCATCTTGTCCATAAGCATAACAAAACCAATATACTCCTCTACACTTTCTGAACGAGCATATGAAAACCTATATACCTCTATTTACATTCTGCACAAGCATAATAAGCCCAATATACCCCATTTTCACACTGTAAGTCAGCATAACAAAGCGAATACACCAATCTCTACCTGCTGAACCAGCATATCAAACCGAATATACCCCATTTTCACACAGTAAACAAGCGTAAGAAAACCAAAATACCCCATTCCATAGTCCAACTAATATACTCCTTTTATAAACAATGTGAACGAGTATCTAAATGAAATTTTAATCTCTCTTTCTCGCTCTCTCTCTCTCTCTCAGTTAAAAATCGAATCAAACTATTTACACTTACATATAGATACACTGAGCGAAACCATTTGCCGTTCAGCGTTGTAAATACACCGAAAGAATATTGAACTTTACCTAAATACTATATATGCCCGATGTATATATAGTATATACATATATAGAACCAGTGCGTGTACCTAAACTTATTTTTAAACATCTATGTGTATTTACCAAGAAGAAGAAGAAGAAGCAGGGGAAGAGGAAGAGGAAGGGGAAGAAATCTACCAAAACAAAATTCCTTTGCAATCGTATGAATATTAAATTTAATTATTTATTGTATATTTCAATTTGTGATATTTTTCAAAGAATTGCAACTAGGCGTACTATGTGGCTTATCCAAAAGAGATATATATATATAATTATATATATACAGATACCTTTGAATACCTTTACTTCTGAAGTTACCCTACGATATGTATTTATATATATATAGATTTCATTGCTCCTCGATATAATTTAAGGCTTTTTATATGCATACCTAACACACATACATTTATATATATATAAATATTTACTATAACTAACTAACCATATGGCTGCAACTACTCAATTAATTATTGTAATTAACTCATCAATGAATCTAATTAAAACATATGTGTGTATAGCGCGGATGCCATATGAATTGCTATCCAAAAAAAAAAGGAAAAAAAATAAAATCAAAGCAAAAGCTCCAATTAGATAGTCGAAAACTATTTTCTATTCCCGCAACAAGCAAAGTTTTTTATATATACAAATCCTAATTAATGAATTGAATTATTAATTAAATAGCACCTAAGTTAAGTTTGTTAATTATTTTTCAAAAATATGACAACCGAATATTATTATGAAAAACAAAACAAAACAAAATAATACAACATATTTTTGGATTTCGCTCAAAAACTAATCAGCGTAAAGCTTTTTATTCCACGCGCCTGCCAAACTGTTCGTTGTTTGGTAGGTTGCTTGGTTGGGTGACTCTCAAACTGTGAGCTTTTCGCTTACATTGTTTTTTATTGCCGTTTGTTTTGCTCGAATTTCTGTTTACTTGCAAAAGCTTCAAATTACATTAAATTCTCCCATTTTTATTAATTAATTAAGAACACATGTTTGTCACTGGAAGTGTGAAAGCTTCCAACGCGTGCTGGAACTCAATTATTTGAGCATAAATTATTAGACCAACTAGAATCCAACTAGATCGATGTAGCTGTGCTCGCTTATGCTTATCAGACGACAATTCCACTTGAACTTGGCAGCTATTATGCAATCGACAAGAAATCGAATTAGATAAACAGATTTTTGTATATAAATACAATTTTAATATATATTTTTAGCACATATATCAAAATGGGAAGGAAGCCTTAAAAGTCGCCAGCACATCTAAAATCCCAATTGGGATTTTAACATAATGCGCAATAAATGCAAAACTGGATGTTGTGTGGAAGTCCAATAAGAGATGCCGCCCGCGTGGCAGGCTGTTTAGTACTTCTCGTTCTTCATGAAGTCATAGACGATGGAGAAGTCCTTGCTGCCCAAGCCCTGTGACTTGAGCGTACGATAGATTTGGTGGGCCAGAGCACCCATAGGAATGGGTGTGTTGGAGGAGGTGGCCACGCCCGAGGCCAAGCCCAAATCCTTGGTAATCAGGTCCGTGGAGAAGCCACCCTTGTAGGAGTTGTTAGCCGGAGCTGTGGGCGTAACGCCGGGCACCGGGTTGTACATCTCAGAGGCCCAGCAGCGACCGGTCGACGAGTTAATAATCTCAGCAAAAGTCTTGGGATTCAGGCCCAGGCGCATGGCCAGATTCATGGCCTCGGACACACCAATCATGGAAATGGCCAGCATCATGTTGTTGGCCAATTTGGCCGCCTGGCCCATGCCATAGTCACCGCAGTGGGTGATACGCTTGCCCATGCACTCGAGCACAGCTTTGACGGCATTGTACTCCGCCTCAGTGCCGCCAACCATGAAGGTCAACGTGGCCTGCTCGGCGCCGGGAACGCCGCCAGAGACGGGGGCATCAATGAACCGAGCGCCCTTGGCGCTGATGCGCTTCTGCAGGGACTTAACGAGAGTGGGATCAATTGTGGAGGAGTCAATGAAGATGGTGTTCTTGTTGACGCCGTTGGCGGTCATCTCCTCGTACGAGGCATCCACAATATCATTGTTGGGCAGCATGGTGAACAAGAAGTCCACGTTCTGTGCCAACTCTGCGGTCTTCGCGTAAACCGTGGCACCCTTGGCCTTCAGGCTATCGCAGGCTGGCTTCGAGATGTCGAAGACATGGAGCTTGTGGCCCGCCTTGATCAGATTGCTGGCCATGTGACCGCCCATGTTGCCCAGACCGACAAAGCCGATGTTCTTGGAGCCACCCTGGGTGGACATGCCACGGATCAGAGTCTGATTCCAGGCATTCAACATGGACTGTGACACAATGCGTAGCGACATGATAAAAACTGTCTGTGAAAGATTTTATAGTTATGTAACAGTTTTTCTATATATGTGGCTGTACCCCCGCCAGCCCGCAGACCCTCCCTTTGCTTGCAATAACACACCCACCTGTATTAAACTCGAAGCGAACAAGTGATAACTGCTAAAAGGTTCTACACGATCGGACCACTGCCAAAAGCACACTGAACACACACTTGGACCAACCGGTCGACGTTGGATGGTCACGTAATGCGGCTTCTTTCCAGCGACAGGCTTGCCAACGTTCCGGCAAGTGAGCAGCTAAACCGAGTGTTCAGCAGGTTTTGGCGTGCTGGCAACTCTACTAGATCAACACGCTCTCTCCCGCTCTCTCTCCAATTCTTACGCTCACGCCACTAGCATTTCCAGCTTGTTGGCTCTTGCTCTCTCACTGGAAGTTTATTTTTATTTATTATTCTATTATTGAGGCACACACGCGCTGGCGACTTATCTTGCAGCTACGCAGACATCGTCTGATGCTTGTGGGTATGGCATAAAGTGGGCGTGTTTGAGTTTATTTGTATATGTACAAAAGCTGCGCAGTCAGCGCTGCTCAAACTGTGCGCAGCTTTTCTGTCGCTTGGCAGCAGCTGATAGCTCTTCCAATCATTATGTAGTTATAAATGTTGCTGTTGTAATTTTGGCTTATCTTGCTTCCAGTTCGCTATGTTTACATAGCTTCCAACTGGTTCGTTTATCAATTGAACTTGAACTAATTCGCTTTGTTTATCTTCTGCGCGTTCCTTTCGCTATTATTCCATTCTGTTTTTTTTTCTTTTGCTTGCTTTCGTCGAGTTGCGGCAAATATCGTGCATAACTGTAAACGCACGCGAAATTTCCAAATCTATTTGTACGCCCCACTCACTTTCGTTAACAATATTCGCCCTTCATGATTTGCCCAATTGTTTGTTGTTTGCAAAATATAACCAAAAATATATATAAAAATAGATATACAAAATTGTGAATATCATATTTCATATCTGCGTTGATAACTTTCCCACCAGATACCGGGATCACCTAACTGTTGTTGTTGTTGCTGTTTTTGTCAGTTGTTTTGGCATGCATGAAATTGCAACTGGGTCTGCGTTTCGCAAATTTCGACCATTTTATGTGCTGCTTATGCAACGTTGCCGTTAACGTCGACGCCGACGCCGGCGTCGCTGCTGGCGTCGTTATGCTTTCGTTAGCGTAGAGAACCTGCTTCCAGCGAGGAACCGATCACTGAACCGATCTGGCAATTACTTTGTCATTATTTTTGCTAATATCTGTGTCAGCGCGTCTGCAGCATCATAAGTCAGTGTGGGCAGTTTGCCGGTTAGCGTGGCTAAGTGCGTTTCGATTGAGGTGTGTTTCGGGTTACACCAGACAACAGCAAAAACGAGGACATCTGCCCAACGTTTCAATAATAAAAGAAATCACTTTACATAAGAGCTAAGCACTTGTCAAACAGTTGACAACGACAGCAACAACAACAGCAACAACACCTTCTTATCTAATACACAAAGTGCAATTCAGCGTATGATTAACATTAGCAACAAAAACAACAGCAGCAACATGAACAACACCAAACAACAACATTCACATTAACATCGACATCAGCAACAACAACCGCAGCAAATGACCGAGTGAGAGCGCGTTTTAAACAATTTACACCAAACAAACTGCAGCAATTAAAAGCGATTGCAACAGTCGAGCAACGACTAGTGGCTATCCTGTAAATTAGTGGAGCAAAGCGAAACTGTTGTTCAGTTGTCAACTCTTATAAAGATACTGCAGTAAAACTATATATTTATATATTATATATTTATATATACAGTAAAACTATATATTTATATATTATATATTTTGTATACCCTATAAATCTGGCTTAAGCTGAAGATAAAAGCAAAAAAATAAATTTGTGAAAGATAATACCTTATATACAATACAATTTTTATAATTTAGGAATTCATAAAAAATTACCTTTTCTAATAAAAAAAACTCGAATCTATGTGTTTGAAATTATAGATAAAAATCATTCAGAAATGTTTCTTATAATATATAATTCCAAACAAAACATACACTTAATATAAATTGGAAATTAATATGGAGTAAGCTATACTAAACTCAAGTTTTATATACCCTTTAGAAAGCACTTACAGGGTAGATATATTTAGAAAAGTGATAAGAAATCTGTTCAAACTAAATCTAAATCTAACAAAAAGTCAATGCGAGTCATCTTGACTTAAGGTCTCACATACCCCATACAAGTACAGGGTATGCACACATGTTTAACAAAAGCACCTCATTATAGCATAAAGAAACCCATGAGCATGAACAGCGCCGCCTTATGACCATAGCAAAAGGTGCGCTCGGCCAAACGTCGCATCGTCTGTGCTCCACATTAGATCGCATCGCGTATACGCCACGTTGTACGCTGCTCATTAGGCGAGTCCAAGCGTTGGCTTGTCGTACTTGTTGCTCTTGTTGTTGTTGCTAATTTCCATGCAGCAACAATGTCAAAACAAAAATTTCACTCACTTAGCCAAAGGCAACACAGCGCAACGCGCAATGCACTTGAGATTGACAGCGACAAGGAGCAGCCCAGATTGAGGTACAAATTGAAATTATAAGTGAGTTCAGCTCTGTGTGTGTGTGTGTGTGTGTGAGAGCATGCCAAGCCCGCATTATATTACGGAGA